GAGGAGAATAAGAATAATACTAGATATCTTTTTAATACAGTTGCCAAACTCACCCACAACCATAGCTCTGTTGAACCATCCATTCTACCTGCTCTTAGCAGTAATGATTTTATGGGATTCTTTATAAATAAGATTGATCTTATTAAAAATAAGATCATTACCCCTTCTTTATCTACAATTGGTTTATCTCTGGAAGGTGAGGCAGCATTTGAGGTAGCCATAGAACCTGAACCGGGTTTAGACTGCTTTGATCCAGTTGAACTTTCAGAGTTAGCAAAACCATTGTCTTCATCTAAGCCTTCAACTTGTATGTTAGATCCAGTTGCAACCAGGTTATTTAAGGAGGTATTCCTTTTAATCTCTTCATCTTCTCCATTTTAGATGTGATTAATCTATCCCTGTTACAGGGATATGTACCAAAGGCTTTTAAGGTTGCTGTAATTAAACCTTTGCTTAGGAAACTGTCTCTTGATCCAGATTACTCGGTCAATTATAGACCTATATCCAATCTTCCTTTCTTATCTAAAATTCTTGAGAAAGTAGTTGCCAAACAAGTGTATTAGATCTCAGTGCTGCATTTGATACAGTTGACTATAATATTCTTTTAGAAAGACTTGAATATTTGGTTGGAATTAAAGGAACAGCACTAAACTGGATTAAATCCTATCTATCTGATCAATTTCAGTTTGTTCATGTTAATGACAAATCCTCCACATGCTCAAAGGTTACCTGTGGAGTACCACAGGGATCAGTGCTAGGAAAAATTCTCTTTACTATATATATGCTCCCAATTGGTGGAGTTATTAGACAGCATGGGATTAATTTCCACTGTTATGCTGATGATACTCAGCTATATCTGTTTATAAATCTAGATAAAGCTAACCCATTACATAAATTACAGGCATGTCTCGAAAACATAGAAACCTGGATGACTCTTAACTTTAAGTTATAGTCTTTGGAAGAGACTCTTTGAAAAAGAAGCTGATTAGTCGGTCACCTCATTTGGATGGGATTAAACTGATTTCAGATAAAGTAAAAAATCTTGGTGTTATTTTTGATCAGGACCTGCCATTTAAATCCCATATCAAAGAGGTTTCTAGTATTTCCTTCTTTCATCTGCGTAATTTTGTAAAAATGAGAAATATCCTGTCCAGGGGTGATGCTGAGAAACTAGTCCATGCATTTGTTACCTCAAGGCTGGACTATTGTAATTCTTTACTATCAGGAAGTCCACAAACTGAAGTTAAAAGCCTTCAGCTGAACCAAAATGCTGCAGCCAGAGTTCTAATGAAAATCAAAAAGAGAGATCATATCTCTCCTATCCTGGCTTCTCTTCATTGGCTTCCTGTTAAATCCAGAATAGAATTTAAAATCCTCCTTCTCACATATAAAGCCTTAAATGGCCAAGCTCCATCTTATATCAGAGATCTGATTGTTCCTTATATTCCTAACAGAGCACTTCGCTCTCAATCTGCAGGTTTACTAGTGGTTCCTAGAATTTCTAAAAGTAGAATGGGAGGCAGATCTTTTAGTCATCAGGCTCCTCTCCTGTGGAACCAACTACCAGTTTTAGTCCGTGAGGCAGACACCCTGTCTACTTTTAAGGGTATGCTTAAAACTTTCCTTTTTGATAAAGCTTATAGTTAGAGTGGCTCAGATTATCCTGAGCTATCTCTATAGTTATGCTGCTATAGACTTAGACTTCTGGAGAACAAATGGACCCCTTTTTCCATCATTCTGCTTCATTCTATCTCTATTCTTCCACTTTGCAGAATCTATTAGTTCAATCTCTAACGTTCTGCTCTCTCTGCCTTTTCTCATAGTAGCTTTGCCTCGTCTGTTCGTGTTTGGCTGTGACACCACCCTGGAGAGAAATATCAGCTGTGCTGCTTCCATCAACAACTTTGTTTCTAGATGTTAGAGATCAGCCTCTTTTTTTCCAGTGTAGTCCTGTTTCTCTAACCGTGACTGGCTGGATGTGCTCTCTTCAGTCTCTGACATGGGAGCTGGCTCGGAGCTCGTCTGCCTGGCTGTGTGTTTCCTGGACGGGGCCGCCTTTTACAGCTGCTTTTTGTATCTCTGCTTCTGTCTCCTTGAACCTCAGTAGGCCTCAGCAGATGGCCGCTCACACTGAGCCTGGTTCTGCTGGAGGTTTCTTCCTGTTAAAAGGGAGTTTTTCCTGTCCACTGTCGCTACAAGCATGCTTAGTGTGAGGGATTGTATTTGAGTCAATGAGTCGATGCAATCAACTGGTTTTCCTTAGATAGAAAACTTTGAATCAATTTCACTCTATGATCTGGTACCTTGAGATGACATGTGCTGAGAATTGCCGCTATATAAATAAACTTAATTGAATTGAATTAAATGTTTTCCCCAGCAGTTTATCTGATTAAGACAGTTCCTCTGTCTGGATATATCATCTTCATTCTGTAAATGGGGAAGAGTTGGGAATGGAATGAGAGTGGTGTCTTTTAGCTAAGAACAGAGTGTAATATTTTGATTCGGCTGTAGCCATGGATGTCTCCTCACCTGCAAATGTGTATGATGTAATGATGTGATCATGTGGCAGACTTCTGTAACTGAAAGCAACATTTCTGATCTGAGTAAAATTACAATTTCTATCAAAATCTGTTGTCATGTCTGCTGGATATTTAATAAATATACACAATGAACTGTTATTTAAAGAGTTTACCCCAATGATTTCTGACACAGAGCTTTCCTGGCATTCTGGCTAAAGATAAATAGGGAATATATA